CCCCCCCCACCAGGCTGCTTGCTCCCTGAGGGCTGTGCCCTCCATGGCCATCTGTAAAGGCGGTGAGCTGAGGGGTTAACATATTGGCCCTGAGCCCACTGTCTGGGTTTGAATCTTACCCTACCTGCTAATTGCCCTCCTGATCCTCACCCACAAAATGGGGGCATTGATAATAGTACTGTACCCACTTCATGAGGATTAAGTGAATTAAAACATGTACATATAGTCCGGTGCTCAGTAAATGTTACCAATGATTATCAGTGTCATTTTGCCAGGGTCTTGGCCAAGAAGTGTGGATCAGATGGAACACCCGGTAAGCGTGAGAATGAGTGTACGAGCAGTGAGTGACTGAGTGACTGAGTGACCTCCCGACCTGAGCTCTGACCTCCTCCAAGAAGTCCTCCAAGATTAATATCCCCTGACCCCAGGGGTACCCTCACTCAGAGTTCAGTATGGATACAAGTGTTGAGTTGGTTCTAAGTAGCTTTGGCCTGTTTCACCCCATCAGGTCAGGCAAGGGTAGAGGAGAGGGGGCACACCTTTCTGTCGGAGGTGGGCACAAAGGTCAGGAATTCGTCCACATGGCCCACGGAGAGCCAATCTGAGTAGAGCTCCACAGGCGCCTGCACCTGCTGGGCTTTCAGGAAGTCCCGCACCACCTTGGCCATTCGCCGCCCACCTGACCTGTAGGGGGAGGGACAGAGCAGCCATCACCTCAATGTGACCCGTGGGCCTGGGCGTCAGATTCAGGGCTCCGATGATTTCCACATCTCAGAGTGTCTGCGGATGTAGCATATCTGAGGGTGTAGAATCTGCGTTTTGACAAGCATCTTAGCTGATTCAAGCGCAGGAGACCACCGCCCCACCCATTTTGTGGTTCCTGAGATGAAGTCTGAGCGTTTTCAAACCACCCTTTATTAGCAGAGCGAGGGCAGGGGGGAGGGACTAAGGTGGCCTAGAACAGGGAGCAGGGGAGCAGGAGCTGGAGACCCAGAGTTGTGGGCGGAGATATTACCCAAAGCTGCCTGTGCACGCAGACTCGGATACTGCCCCAGGCAAGGGCCATGGCCCTATTTCACAGATGAGGCAGCTGAGGCCTAGAAAGTTCGAGGGGTGACTTGTCCAAAGTCAGGACAATATATTATACTTTGGGCACTTTCCACTTCTCCTTGGCACACGTAACCACGTGCAAACACATGTGCAGAGATTTTTTTCAATATGTTTTACAAAAAAAGGATCACATTTCTTGCCCTTGCTTGCTGGTTTAAGGACATATGAATGAACTCCCAGCCCGCATCCAATCTGGCGGTTCTACCTTAAATAGAACACACACTCCAGCCTTTCCCAGGATCTTGCTCTGCCACCATCCAGCTAGTGACACTTCCCTCATCCAAAACATCCCAGTGGCTTGTCCCTTTCCCCATTCTCTCAGCTTTCACCCTTGCTCCTCTGCAGTCTTACCAGAGGGAGGCTTTTAAATATGTCAGATCATGTCCCTCCTCCAGACAAAACCCTCACATCACTCCCATCTCACTAACTATAAATACAAAGTCTTCACAAGGACCTGCATGTCCCCACCCATGCCGACGACCCCCTTCCCATCACTCTCCTCTTCATTCACTCAGTTCTAGCCATGCTGGCCTCCTGCTGTCCCTGAAACATACCGGGTACATTCCTGCCCCAGGGCCTTTGCACATGCTATTCTTACTACTAAGAATCGTTGCCCACTTCCCATATCCCCATGGCTCACTCCCTCATTTTTTTCAAGTTTAACTCAAATGTTACCTTCTGTCACTACGAGGCCTTTGAGATTACAACAACCCTCAACCCCCTTACCAGCTCTATTGTTCTCTACGTCATATGTTACTATTTGACACACTTGATTTCTTGTTTATTGTCTGGCATCCCCCTAGGATGCAAGCTCTTGGAGGGCTGGGATTTTTGTCTACGTTCACTCAGTACCTCTTACATAACAGATGCTCAAACAATATTTGTGAATGATATTGATTCTTTTGAACAGCTGTTTGAGAGTCCAGGGCCTATATAAGTTGAATACGTCACAGGCAAAGACTAGAAGAAAACCCAACAAGCAGAGACACATGATAACACTGCTTTGATTTGGGGGATGGGATCATGGAAAATATTTTCTTATATTTCTATTATTTTAATACAGTGCCAGCAATTTTATTTTATTTATTTATTTTATCATCACCCGAGGATATGTTTTCCATTGCTTTTCAGAGAGAGTGGAATGGAGGGGGGGAGAGAGAGAGAGAGAGAGAGAGAGAGAGAGAGAGAGAGAGAGAG